AGGGATAGTAGAGATAGATAGATAGATAGATAGATAGATAGATAGATAGATAGATAGATGTAGAGATAGATAGATAGAGAGAGAGAGAGACAGAGACAGAGAGATGAGAGATAGATAGATGAGATATATAGATATAGATAGAGAGATAGATAGATAGATAGAGAGAGAGGGATAGTAGAGATAGATAGATAGATAGATAGATAGATAGATAGATAGATAGATAGATAGAGAGAGAGAGAGAGAGAGAGAGTACACATGCACATATGTATGTATGTATGTATGTATGTATGTATGTATGTATACATATGTATATATGTATATGGCTGTTTATTGATGATGTATGCTGCTCTGAGTCATGTGCTCAATGGATGGCTATATAAATCAAATAATCAGAATGGAAGAAGTCATTTTAGGCCACCTCTTCTATGGCATCAACATGCCCAACTTTGCCTACACACACAAAACTCATGGAGACGGGATAAGAGGGAAGACATTTCTCTACAAATGGAACACTTAAAGCTATCCCTGGTCTGCCTCAGCTGTGGTTGGATGATGAGACACAGGCAATGATATGCAGATATGTCCTTTGGAAATGCTTAGTTGATGTTCCTCAAGCTATGCTGATGAGCTGTTAATCCAAGGGAGTTTACATTTATCACACTCTGTGAATTGGGGCCTGAGCTATAATTAATTACAGTGGCTTTTCAGCTTTAAGTGAAGAAAAGGATATGGGGGTGGGTTATTGAAGGAAAAAGTATTTGTATTGTTTAGGAATACTAGACTGCATAAAAGAATCTTTCTTTTACAAAAGTATAAGGAATTAAGAAGCCAACATCTTTAGTACTACCTCCTGCAGAGCTACAGAATGTGCAGATTGTATTAAAAGTCCTCATGGATTCTTCTGCCAAAGAAACTCTTTCTTACTTCCACATTCAAATGGGAACTTTTAGGGGTATTTTTAAAATACAGTAAGGGAAGTAGTTGGTCAGATCATTTTCTAGATTGGTGGTATATTTAAGTCACAATCCAAAAATATACATACTGTAACATAAGATCTTCAGACCTTTCTCCTCAGGTCACCACTATGATATATGGGTTACAACATAAATTTAATTTTTTTTCCTCTCTTCTCTTTCTTGTATGAACATTTCAACAAACATAGGGAAAAAATCACATTTGGGAATCACTTAAAAATATCCAAACCTGCTTGTGGAAGTCTTAGTGCAGCAATCAGCCATAGTTTCTAACCAAAGTTAGTAGCCAATAAGTGACCAGGTAGCAAATAAACAGAGTTGGGTTACCTACCAGAAAAATTACGTGTTGCTAGCATTGTAGTAAGGATTGCACCCTGGAACACACAAAAGACAAAAAGGAAAAAAAGGGGAAAGAGGACACAATGTTGGATTTAGAATCAGGGCTATCCCTCCCCTTCCCCCCCCTCCCCCGTCCTACTCTAATATCTCCTTTTTCTTAAAAACATCCCATGGAAAATGGAGCTGGCTGAGCTACAAGGGGAATGTACCTTTGGCCCTGTTTCAGGGCAGGATGAATATAGTTCAGGGAAGATATTAATAGAAACAGCAAACAGTTTGCAGAAATCAAGTCACTGGATATTAGCTCAGGGATTTTTAACATTAAGTTTCCAAATGGTGGACACAGAGTTTATTATAGCCATCTTATATAGAGATTAAAAAGCTTTCCTTCCAATGTTAATGAAACTCCATTCTCCACTAAACAAGTAACGCTTGAGCTCTGATGGGACCAGAGTAACTGATAAATGTCTTGCTGTATTAAAGAGGATTTCCTACAGTATCCCAAGTGTAATCTCAAATATGCCATCTATCTTTGAGACATCCAACAGATTAAAACTCTTCGGATGCATCAGTCATTTGTCTCAGGTCATAGAACAGAAGAAATTATCCCAACGAACAACCAATCCCTCATCCTTCCATATTCAGTGTTGTAGTAAAATGCAAGATTGCACTATAATGCCCGAAACTCATTCCACTTTCAGAATTTTTTTTTAAAAAAAACACACATTTGGGCATGCTGAAAAAGACTCATCTGTAGCATATACATTTCAATTTAGCAGCTCTAAATAAACGCTACCACAATTACTACTACTATACTATTGCTACACAAAGCCCTCAAGCATATTCTCTCATAGATCAGTCTCATCACATCCATTTGAAAGGGGGGAAGACTTCAATGCATTACTGAAGTAACATATCCAGAGCCATTCTCTGTAAGTCAATAAAATAAGTTATGACAGGTGCCTGATTTGCAATAGCGCAGCATTATATTTTAATGTTGGGCTTGTTAGCAGGAAGTGTCCATTTTTAATAAGAAAAGGAAACGTTCCACATATGTTTGATGGGGAATTCTGAGCAATTGGTTTAGCGTTTACAGAAAAAAAGCAAGATGTATTTGCACTGAATAAAACTGAATTAGTATAAGAATACAATGTTTACATGTCTGTTATTCTAGCAATGGATAGATTTGAAATGTCCATCAAAATATAATTCTGGGGCATAGGATAAAAAGGCCAAATGAATCTGTGTGTTTACTGCTTACTAAATGTCTTCCCTTCTCCTCTGTTGAGCCTTTCTTTTAATTTTGTGTTACTGTTTTTTTTAATTGTTTTACTATTTTGTTACTGTTGACACCTCCTGTCATTTCTGTGTTTTTACTGTCATAAGCCTCCTAGACTAGCCCCACAGCAAGATAGGCAGCAATTGAATTTAACAAAAATAATAATAATCTAGTGACACACCTCTAATACCATAAAACCTCAACATCTGCCTGTCTCAAGTCCTTGTGAAGGCCTCAATTTCTGGATAAAAATGCCAAATCCTGTTTGAATATCTGGCTGACCATGTGACAATCCACAATTTCTCAATCAAGTATATGAGCTAGTGAGAAATTATATTAGCAGAATCAACAGATTTCTGTATAAAAAGCCAACACAGATCACCATCTATTACTTAGTCAATAATTTTGTTAGTGTCCAGCCCAAAGGCAAGAAATTTGCAAGAGTTCATAGAATTTATGTGTAGAAATAATCCAAGAAAACATTGAATCTAGAAACTAATAATGATATTACTGCTAAGTCTCCTAACTGAACCTTTCCTATCCACAGCAGCACCGAGAGGAGTGAAAAGTGGCCTAAAAATTGCAAAGGCCCACCTTTGAAGAATGCAATTTATCTGAATTTTACTGACTATCAGTTTTCAGAAATCTCTCAAGAAGCGATTACATTTACTTTTAAGTCTTTAGTTAAAAGTTTCAGATTAATATTTCCTGACTAATGATCAAAAGCAGTTTAATAACATCACCTAGACATCGTTGATGCAATATGCCTTCCTTATTTTAGCAAAACGATGGTCTAGAAAACTTTTAAATCTCTATAAAATTTTCAGCCAGTGCGGAAATGACCAAATGTTAGCTTTTCAAATTGCGATGAACAAGATCACTTGGATAAGAACTTTTGAAAGAACCAAAGTGAAACTCATAATGATTTTTCTGTCTCAACTAAGGGCCGTGGCATTAATACTGTCTGTCTATACTTGGAACAGATCTATCTCATGTATAGAAACTAATTTACAAACAGAAATATAGTCCAGTCTAAACCCCTTCTTTTGTCTGTCTTTTCCTCTGGTGATTTTTGAGTATTTGTGTGCGTAAAGAATATGACCACGAGTGATGAGAAAATATAGAAAAATTACCCATTACAGGTGATGTCATCTGGATCTGTAGAATATAAATAAATAAAAACCTGCAAGAAGTCTAGTATGGAGCCATGTGCAAGATGTGGAACATAAACATGGGGAACAAATGAAAGTGGAAACTTCCAATTAAGGAAACAGGGAAGTCTCATAATTACCTTTAGCTTTCTTCTGGCGTTGAATTTCTTCAAGCAATCAACAGTCTCCTGTCTGTGCATGCAAGAAGCCACAGTGGAACGGTGCTAAAAGATATAAAGAAAGCATGCTTAGAAATGGAAATGAGTACAAAATCCTTCTTTATTTTAGAAACCTGGACTTATAGTAGAAGCTGTGCTTCCTTGTGTGATTGTAAATGTGATCTATGAAACAGGATTGCCTTCTGTTCTTCAGTTCCACACTGTTGTTGTCACTGAAGGACATTATGAGCTGGCTTTTCTGCAGAGACTCAAATATATTGGTGATATGAAGAAGGCAATGATTAAGTACTGAAAGACATCCATACACCCTCCTGTGGCTCTACTAGGACAACCTGTAGCAGAATGCTGCTCCACATTAATGTTACAAAAAGGCTTGACAGTTAGCCCAATTAGATTTTGTGGTGTGTTTTTTTTAACAGAGCAATGAAGTATCAGCTTGACTGATATCATGTGCTTTTCTGCATAGTTTTGCATATTCTCTACTAGGAAGGTAAAAATTTTCCTTGCAACAAGAACATTTGGAGCCTGTTAACTTTTTGTGGTCAAGAGCCATACTTGTTCCTTCAACAATTTGCTTTAAGAAATTAAGTTTAAATTAAATTAAAATTGCACTCAACATGACCATTACTTCTGTGTTTTAAAAAAAATCCTTTTTTAAATCTTAAGCACTACAATGTTTATTTATTCAATGTGTACCCTGTACCAACTACCAACAACTCTGGACAGTTCAGAGAGCAACTTTCTCAGGAATTCAAAAGGAAACTTGAAAGATTTTGGAGGGCTTGAATGGAAGGATTTAGAAGGCCCTGGGTTTTCATGTTGCAGACCCCTCCCACTTAAATTGGGAGAACACTGTCACCTGGAGATTATCAAAATCCAGGTGTCAGGCCTGCGGCCATATTCCTTTTGGATCTTTGGCCTGCCACATTTTCTATTATTCTACTATGCCATTTCTATTGTGGGAAAATGGGAGGCGGGATAGTATGGAGTTAAATGCTATGTAGCTAAAATAAAATTCCTTTCTAGAATCCAAGGTCATCCTTTGTCTCTACACCTCTGCACCTGACCGGAACTGGATGGATAGAACTGCCAGCATGGCAGTGGAAGATTGGGCCATGTGATGGACTTGTGGGTGTTGGGGCAAGATCNACCAAAAAAAACTATTCAGGTAAAAAAAAAGATAACAGCTGGGATTCTTGTCACTGCTCAAAACCTAAGTGAGGAGCAAAATACTGTATCTAACAGATCTTGCCAAATCAAATCACCATGCACTTTCTCCACTGGCCATCTTGGCTGGGACCACTGGGAATTGTGGTATTTTTAATCCCAATTTTAAAGTAACTTCCTATTTCTCTTCTTAGGCTCCCCTGTGACAGCCCTTACATGGGAGTAGAAATGCCAGAGGCAGTGTAGAATACAGCTGTCATTGCAAAGTGGTAAAGCCTCCTCCTTAAAAAAAACTTCCTTTGCTGGGAAAGATAATTCACTAGGAACTAATATTTAAGGGGATCAAGAGGAATTCACACCAGGGTATATTATGAGATTATACACAGCCACAGAAATATTCTGGGATATTAAATACCATAGGGGCAATTGTGAATTACAGTTCTACACGAAGGCGGTATCACTATAACTTCTGAAAACTTAAATTGGTTCTGAGCCTAGATTATTTCTAAGTAATCACATAATTATCTGATAATATTGAAATCTAGAAGAGTAGAAGAAAGGCACAATGTTTTCTCCAATGTATAAAAGTAAAAAAGTACAGAAAGAGAATTGTTAGAATATATTTCTCAGCCTCAATGAGCAGGTCAAAATGTTGCTTAGTTCTCTGTTATGGTCTTTTCTGCTCTCTAATATTTTTTTTTCACAATTCTGCTCTCTAATTTTTTTTTTTTACATTTATTTTGGTATGGATTAAGTAAGCAAATTGAGGATAAACGGAGGCAACCAGTCCTATATCTAAGCTTTACAAGATATATTTTTTTCCCTTCAGTTGTATTTTCTGTAGAAAAGGCAAGAATGGAAAAAATGTGTCTAAAAATAGAGAAACATGTGAAACAGAAGATCTGGGCCACGCTGGGACCCACTACTAGAGAAGACATCCAAGCGTATTTGTCATCTTGTAGGATCCAGAAATGAAGAGGACTTACCTTCACACCATCATTCTTCTTGTTGCCACCACTTTTCCCTCCTGTGGAGAAAAGGTACCAGGTCAAGAGGCATAAGGATGATACCAGAGTTAGAAGACTGAGAATCAGCAACATGAGGAGAACTGTCTAAGAGCAGGAGACAAGGGAACTGAAAAACACACAATCAGTGCTGCAGCATTCTCTGATAATAATCCAGCAGTCGGAAGGAAGTCTCTCAGAAACCCATAAAGCTTGCAAACTGGATTACTATCATCCTTCCAGATGAACAAAACAAGCCACAGCCACTTATAGTCATCTGTTCCCAAGTTTTTGAAGAAGTCAAAGCAGAGCCCAGCAATGTTGGCAAACCGAAGGAGCATTCTCTGTGAAATTCATTTATTCCTTCTTGAAAGGACTAAGGACCTTCCCACCACGTGGCCATAACGATTTAGTCTTCTCTTTGAAACAACTCAAATTTCCAAGTTTGCTGGTCTCACTTTTTTCTTAGATCGGTTCACGAATAGTTCAACTGTAGATAAGTGTTCTCTTGCCTGCCTGCTTTTCTCACTCTCAGGCTCTCCTGCTAATTTTAGCCCCCCATGCTGGTGGAGATCACGTGCTGCAATTATTACATCCTGACAGCTGCAGCCCACATTTTGACAATGATAAAAAACAGGCCCCTTCTTTACTACCCCATTCCCATTGCCATTGCAGACCTGAATTACTATATTTGGTTCGCGCTTTATAGAAAGTTCATACTGTGTGAAGTTTTGGATTTTTTTTTTTTGTCTTTGTGATAAACCTGTAACATTTCCAGGATTCTCAGCCAATTAACCTTTCCACAGCTCCAGGTTTTGTTTTTTAAACTTGTTTCCTTAGATTGTTAAGATCTATATCCTCTCTTATTTCTCAAGATGTTTTTCTCGTGATCTTTTTAAATGCTCTTATTCCATCAAATACAAGTCTATTGCACAATCTTCTAAGTGTATTATATTTTTCTACAGCTTGGGATTTTTAAGAATTCTGTAATGCATTTTCCACTTGCTGAAATTCTTAACTGTTTGGGTTCAACGAATTACATATTGTGACATGTAAATATGTATACTTTATTACATGAGCTGATATGTAAAAGCAACAGCCAATTATGGTTTTGCATCCAACAGTTCCCACAGTGACACATATACTGTCCCTGAGAATGAGGATTATACATATTGTAATTTCCTAAGCAGAAATCTGTTTGTTTGGGGCAATGGGCCCTGGAATAGCCTTAATGAAATAATGTCTGTTCATAACAATTGTTCCTTCCAAAAAGGGTATCTATCCCAATCAATCAAGTTCTAAAAATGTAAGGGAGACTCCTTAGAGCAGAGCAAATGTCTGTCTGGTTCAGCATTTTTTTTACAATATGTTTCTTATAATAATTGAGATGACTCTGGGAAGTGCAAAAGACTTAACGATGGTAAATTGTTCAGTGGTTCTAAACCTATACTCTCAGTATCCAGCATAAATTTAATCCTCCATATTTTTTTTTCTTTTAAAGCCATCATTTTATTACTTTCCAAATACAATATCAATCAAAAGATCCACCTTATTTCTTGTGGATCCATTTTTCTTCATGTGAAATTTCAGCAAATGGAAGCTGTTTTTAGAAGATTCCCTGTAAATTCAAGATTCCTTTGGAAAATCCCATAAAACTGCCTTACTTTCCTGAACGGTGATTTTTAAAACTTAATTCTAGTTTATATTATTATGAAAAAGTAAAAAGTTGACGGTAGAAGTTACTGCCTTATTTTACTGCACCAAAGGAGTCAAAAGTCAATGCCTTTCCCCACCCTTGCTCACTATCCACTTCCCTTTTTTCCTTCCCTAATTTCCCTAATATTTACTTTTGTATCGTCTTTATATGTCATATTACAAATTAATAAATTAATAAATAAATATATAATTAAACATTTTTAGTTCTATGCAATTCTTATGCAGGAAGGAAATACTTTTATTCTAATACTATTCTAGAAAGATTATTATTATTACTATTACTATTACTATTACTATTAATAATAATAATAATAATAATAATAATAATAATACATGAAACTCAGTCTACTGAACATTCAAAAACGCATCACAAATACCATTGACTGGTGTTAATGGTTGATATGGGTTGCTGCCAGCGTTATAGGTTTCCACCAAGTCCCTTCTTAAAGTATACGATGTTCCGAGTAGAACAGTTTTTTGCAGTTCCGCTGGCGTTATTGCAGGAAGCTGCAATTTGTTGATGTATCTTATACAATTCTTGGACATGGTACCAAGTGCCCTGATGACGATGGGTATCTCTCTTAGGGTTGTTGTTGTTAAAAGAGCTTCATCTCACAGGATGCTGTATTCTGGGGCAAACCCCCTTTGATTAATAACCTTGCAACCCAGCATTTCTCACAGAATAGTGTAAAATGAGCTTTCTATTATCTAATCTGAGCTCTTTCAAACTCCTATTAATAAATAATGATGATGGTTTGAATGCCCTGTTATTGAGGGGTAGGAACTTGATTGATTTGTTTAGCACAGCCTTTCTATCAATGAGCAAAAAACGTATTTTTGTATTTTGTCTTCACTTAATAAACCAGAGAAAATGGTCAATATCTATTTATTAATATGACATGCTGGAAGAAAGATGCTAGTGCCTGAATTAATCTCCCTAGTGTCTATCTATATGAGTCACTACGTAAGCCAGACTTAGGTTACATCCACACACCTGCTTTACTATGTTCCTTCTTAACTTGGGTCCTTTCCTAATCTTGCTATCTCCATAGCGTGTCACAGAAGATTTCTGCCATTTCCCCTACAGCACACATTTCTGTAGTAAAAGCTGTAATTTTGGTTTTCTTGATTGCATTCCATCCAGTCTTGCCCGACACT